CCCACTGAACTTGTACTTAGTCGACCCCCACACTCTTTTTCTCTCTCTTTTTCTGTATTATTCAATGAATAATTCAATAATTAAATGTGAATTTAAAGAAACTTACTACTAAAGAAAATTACTACCACTAATATAATATAGTACAGATGTCCATTTCCATTAAATATAAGAAAAAATAATGCTAATGGTAATAAAATATTCATAATTTTGACAAAAAGGCATAATTATATGATAAAAAAAGATGAAATGAGACATGAGTCATAATTATTAAATAAAAAGTAAAAAAAACTGAGATAATAATGGAAATTACATATGAAAAATTGATAACAGGCCATTGAATTATTGAATTATATGACTTAATGCACACACAACGTGGTAATGCAGCCAAGCAGTGGCTCTCAATAGTGTAAAAAAAGGTGACGCTACCACCACCTTGCTACTGAGAAATGTCTTGTGGCTTTTCAGTCACAAACTATGTTATCGAAAAAGTTGACGTATTGGAGCAGCGCTGACCAGAAGTTTCTGTGTCCTGTGTTCTTTATGTAATTATGACTTTTTAACTCATAATTTTGATTGTTTATCTCATAATTATGACTTCAGCTCACAACTGAGCAACATCTATATATACTGTATATATATATATATATATATATATATATATATATATATATAAATCTGTGCAAATACAACTGTGATCCTGTGCTCATTTCAGTCACAACTTGTTTGTGTCGGAAGGGTTAACTGTCGTTCAGCAGTCAGCTTTTCCCAGTATGCACCGGGGCCTTGTAACGGAAAGGCAGCCGGGGCCCCATGTGACCAGACAAAACAACACACACACACACATACACCGCCTCCTCAGTCGGCTAAAGTTCATCTGCCTGCAAGCAATTACACATCCACATGCGGCGAGCGAGTGAGCGAGCAAGAGAGAGGAGGAAGGGAAAGGAGAGGTTACTATGGGGCATTTGACACTGTTGCTATAGTGAGGCCAACATTCTGTCTTGATCCATCCTCAAAAAAGGTCAGATAGATCATGTGCCTTTTTTCTTTATTTATTGATTTTAATATTATTTTCTCTTTCTGAGACATGTTCCTTTATTCTTGGTTCTGCAAGGTTAAATGTTAAAGTGTGTGATTTCTGTTTCACTTGCAGCAAAAAAAATGTCCCAACTGGGCTGGATGTAACAACATTGGCTCCATTGAGTCCATGGTGTTTGGGGCAGGACTATCTGTTTGCAAAAGCAATGGTAGATGAGGAGAGTATTTTAAATGTAATTACTGTTACAATTATGACACTAAGGATGCAGAAATTGCGATTTGACGTTTTTTCGCTTAAAAGTGCAGTATAATGTTGACTTTAGAAAGAATGTTTGGTGTGTGTGCTAAAATTATTAAAGCAACAGTTCACCCACAAGTCTGTCACATTTGCTAGTCCTCTTGTTGTATCAAAGCTGTATAGACTGTCTTTTTCCTTTGAACGTTGAATGTGAAGTTTTGAAAAGTATCTTGGCTGTTCCATAAGTGAAAGGGGCCCAGGTTGTCAAGTTAAAAGATGCCAAAAAACACCCTTAAAGTACTGTAAAAATGGCCCATATGACTCACTCACTTTTCTGAGCTGGACATAACCAGTTCTCATTCACTTTTTACAGTTTTTCTCGATTGCTTAAACACATTTATTGAAACTATGCCTCATATTCTCAAAACAGTAAAGACAAATTCATAACGTCTCACCCAATTCCCCAAACATCCTATTTTCAGGTCAAAATGAAGCTCTACACTCAAAACCATTCACTCTTGCTGAAAAACCAAACTTTGGCCTCAGACATCACACACAAGCCCTCAAAAACACACACACTACAACATAGTCTTACACACTGGTGAGATAAATTCAAAACAATATTACAAAAACCAAAACCAGTAATAAGTTATGTTGCTTGTGGTTCTCATCTGATTCATGTGTCAAAAAGGGGAATAGTGTTTATAGTTTAGGGAAATGGGTGTGCTTTTTGATAAATGGCGTTATGGTTTTGAAATTTTAGTTCAAAAGCCTGGTGATAGTGTTTAAGCAATCGAGAAAAACTGTAATTAAATGAAAAAGAGCAGCTAAGATATTCTACAGAAATTCACCTTTTGTGCATTCCACAAAATAAAGAATGTTGTATGGGTTTGGAACTGCATCACTGTTAGTGAATTTTTTAGTTAAACATTCTAAAAATGTCAATGGGAGGTTTTTAAACTTTAACATAAACCTTTACATTTTTAAAGTTCTACAATTTTAAAAATCTTCAAAACTGCAAAGAATAAAATATAAACCAGAATGTGTCCACCAAATAAAAAATTGAATGTCTGTACATTTGTGAGGTGTGGGGTGAATAAATTGCCAGAAATTAAATGCTAAAGGTTTTAAGACTATAAGAACAAACCCTATTGTTTGAGCAATATAAAAACAGTGCTGACCTATAAGCTAATAATTATATTTTTGCTTCAGCTGTGCTGCAGAATACATCATAAGACATGAATTCATGGCAATATTTGGAATAAAATCAATGTTTTCTATAAATTGTGTAAGATAAGCACATAGAAAGACGTCTTGGCATTAATATATCTTTTTCATAGGATCTACTCAGTCACTTTGTACATCAGATGTGTCCATCCATACTCTCGTCTGTCATATCCAGTGTTGGGCAGTAACTAGTTACTAGTAACTTAGTTACTGTAATAATATTACTTTTTGCAGTAACTAGTAGTGTAACTAATTACTAATAAGATTTCTGTAATAATATTACAGTTACCATCCATAAAACAGCTTAGTTACTTAGTTACTTTTGATGCCTCGAATCCGCTGATTTTAAAATCCAACAATCAAATAATTCCTAGATTTATTTTCATCATTTTCACGACTCGCACATGCATGCGATGTCCCCAGTGCAGCAGGCAAGCTTGGAATATGGAAAAGCTTACATTCAGCAGATAGAAATATTGCATTATATTGATTTTGTCAGGAAAAAAAGATGATCTGAACACTGTTGAGTAAGTTGTGGCTGTACTTTACTCTGGCATTACATCCCACCCACATCCGTCTGATCAGCATGTGGTACATTATATTACTATAATTAAAAATCTTTTTGGAAAATTAAAGTTTCTTACAAACTTATGTGATTTGATAAAATACATAATGAAATATAATCGTATATGGGTAATGGAGAAATTACAATTAGCTTCAAGCTACACATGACAATGAGATTAATACAACACTTCTACTTGAATGTCACTATCAATCATTGAGTGTTTGTAATAACTTCTGACTGCGATCCAAAGTGGATTTTGGTCAAATTAATAGGCAGAAATATGTTGTTAGTAAAATTCTAGAAGAATTTTATGTGGAATATACACAGTTACAACTTCTGTGGGGCATGAAGAAAAAGTAATGTAACTAGTAGTGTAACTAATTACTGTTGCCAGAAAGTAATAAGTAAAGTAACAATATTATTTTTGAAAGGAATAACTAGTAATGAGTAATATATTACATTCTTTGAGTAACTAGCCCAACACTGGTCATATCCTAACTGTTACTACACCCGTCATTTCATAGTCACCCCCTTTCTATAACCAGCATATCACCTCACACCCACCCCTCCTCTGATATGGTGTCCTCCAGAGCCGAACCCATGACCCTGTCCAGCATTTGATTTGTGTGCAGATCCATCACAAAGGAACAGAAACCACTGTCAAGCCCCATTGTGAGTAGAGGAGAGGATAGAGGGAGGTGGCCTCAATTCAACTCACTCTGTTTCTCTCTATCTTTTTATCTGTCTCTGCCTCAGTCTGACTTTCACTCCCCCCCTTCTCGTTTTACCTCGTGACCTTGAGCTGGGATTTTGCTGACGGCTGTCTTTAACACATTCAGTGCCAAATGGTATGCGAGGTCAACCCAAAACTTTCAGCCAATCACAGTCCACTTTGCCCTGCCATATCCAATATCTGACCACTGAATCAGTGTAGATACAGAGTCCTCCAGCGGTTTTGTTTGCCCTCCTGCCAGTCAGAATCCATTACACAGCAGCTATATGGGGTGTTCAAGTGAACGTTGTGTGTGTGAGAAAGAGAAAAAAAGAAAGAGAGAGAGAGATTGATGCATGGCCCTTGTTTTCCCTGAGTTGTAGTTACAGATGAATGAGAGGGAAAAGCCTGGGTGACCTTTGATCCCAGACTTCAGAGAGGACTGGGATGCATTCCAGCTGAGCGGTAGTGAGACTGTGGCAGTAAATCAGATAGAGGGACTCTCGCTGCCCTTCCAGGACCTTGCTGTTTTGTTGCAAATGTGTGTGTGTTGGCACATAAATGCTTTTTGCTCAGTCCAAATCAAACTTACACATAGAACATGGACAGCGCAGTACCTATACAAACCTCTTCCATTATTTTTCCTTAATATTGTATATAATGCTACTCATTAGTTGTGCTTGTTAAGTCAAAAGTCACTTTTACCATTTCTCATACTTATGGTGGGGAATTATGGTGAACTTATGGTAAGCAAACCTATAACCCTTAGGATTAAACTTTGGTGTGTAATTTGTCCTGCACTGTTTGTGCAAAGACATGGATGATACTTCAAATTATGTGGCATTTTCTAAGCACTGTGACTTACAATTTCCACCCAGATGATAAAATTGATGGATGTTATAGAGAGAGCCTGTTTCTCACAAAAAAATATGGTAATTGAGACTTTGTCCCAATGTGACTTGATTTTTTTGCAGTCACTTCATATCTCACAATTGCAGCTTACGATTTGCAAATGTAAATGTATTTTTCACTTCATTGCACAATTTTTAGTTTTTTACTTTACAGTAGAAACAGAAATGATGGCCATAAGTGAACACAAAATTGTAAAAATCTAGTTGCTTACATGTCTCAGTTTCTTTCCTTTTTCTCTGTAATAAAAGTGTGTAAAATCTCCATATAATGCTTTTATGTTTTTCCGTCCTCTCCTTTTGTTCTTGCAGAGAGCTTCCAGATGACCCAGCGGTCCAGTGGAGCACTGCACTGATCTCCTCTCTGATCCTCAAACACATCCGAAACTACAGCATAAGTGTGGTAGGAAACCTCTAGAATGTTATCCGTTCAGGACCACCTTATCCAAAAGACTGTATGTATGTGTACGAATTAAACCTCCTGAAATCCCTCTAGAGCACGTCAGAGCAGTTTGACATGTTGTGAAGTTGAGACCAGTGAGAGGCTTAAATCTATGGAGTAGAGTGCACTAAAAATTCTTAAGAAACAGGAAACAAGTCTGTGCTTTTTCGTAGAATGTTCCCAGATGATATCTAAAATGTTTGTTTTGGTTATTATTAATAATGCATTGAGAATGAATCGGCACTTAGACAAAAAAGAGACTGATAAGAGAACACAAGGTTGCAGATGAACTTTAGCACACACCAAAAGATAAATATATAATAAATAAACACAATAATCTCTCTTATTTTTAGACCTCTCCAAATAAGTGTTAAAATAAGGTTTTTACTTCAGCATAAAACACTGCCCCTGGATCGGATGGAGGTTTAGTCAGATCTCAACTTCCTGCAGGATGACTTAAAATTATTCAAATGATTTTTAATACAATTATAATGAATTATATTAATGAATAAAATAATCTAACTTAAAATGATAAGAAACATATATACATTATTTTTTCTTACCACTAAATTACTATTGTTTCTGTTTGTTTCCCAGTTTCTGTTTATAAAAAAAAATTAAAACAAGCAGCCTTGTCATAATTATTGCAGAAATATCTTACCCTATATTGTGGGGGGGCCTAGAAAAATGTGTTGGACAATGAGTCAAAGAGGTTGAGAACCACTGATCTGAGTATTTTCTGCAGAGACTCCAGCTTTCCACTGTGCTAACTTTCCTATCTGATAGCTTGAGTCTTTCTCTTGAGGTTGCTATGAGTGAGACCGTATCAGTAAGATTAATTCACTCAGGCGAGCTTTTCATTGGCCCCCTGTATTTAGCCCTAATTACACATGCTGTACTATCCCATAATACCGCTGAACTCTGCTAAAGCAGACACATGAAGTTCCCCAGGGTCACTGCTGGCAAGCCAATGCAGAGATATCTATCAGCCTGCACTAAGGACTTCCAGAAAAGATCCCCAAAAAAATTTAAATCAAGATTTGAACAAATGTTTTTCCCTCTTGCACCTCCTCTCTTTTTCCCACGTGTACTGTTTAATGTTTTCTTTCTCCTTCCCTCTCCCTCTTTCTCAGCCCACATGCCATGAAATTCCCAAAGAACGCCAAGCACAGAGGACTAGCATAAACAAGCCAGAAAACAAAACAATGTTCTTGCGACATGACTTGGTTTACCTCCATCGACTATAAGTGTACATGCAAACATCAGCTGATACCTTTTCTGCCAGACTCCCAGCTCCACCAACACACCAGTCCGACTTTAAACCGCACACGCACTAATACAGGCTGGATCTGCATACGGTTCCGCTGCACCCTTAATTTCATGTTTGATTTAAGCCGAAGTAGCTGTGGGGATGGAAATACTGATGTTGAGTTATATAACATTACACTCCAATTTGACTTTGGCTTTCAAACGTGTGGGAAAAGAGTGGTGGCCATTTTGTGCGCTTTACCGCTCTCTCACAAGGAGCAGAGGATTGTGGGTAGGGCACTATTACACAAATAGCCTCCTCTGGTTTAAACAGATGTGCATTACTGCTGATTGTACCAGACTTTGATTCTGATTCAAAAAGTCTTTGACTCCTTGTGCTTTACATAAATGTATAAGTGTGTGCAGACTCGTTTATCTTGTGTTCTTCTCACAGGCAAATGTCAGTAAGTGTGTTTGCATGCACTTTAAAGTTAGATTTCAGTCGGACTGAAGCAATGATTTATCATTTTAAAAGGTTATGTAAACGCTGTCATGCAACTGAACCCATACCAGTTCGATTTTTGTTTATATGAAGCCAAACTAACAGACCTAGATAATGGAATTGTAGCTTGGCTTCGTTCAGCACGTACATGTAAAACTACAACTGGCCTTGGTGTTGTATGTATACTCTGAAAGGTTTTATTCTTTAAATTTTAAATTTCACACCATGTCTTGTATAATTTGGGCAGACTGACACTTTGCAAAATGTCGCTGGAGCTGGATTATTACCATGCATGTAAACATATTTACACTCTGTCTCTCTGCTGTTCACAGCATTTGGATTTCTCCTCCCTCTCGCTCATGCCAGTAGTCTCTTCTGAAAGCTGACTCACCCGCCTCGTGTTTGGCAACAATCTATATACCTGCCACAATCTATTATTTTGTCAACCATATTTTCCTCCACCCTTGGCACTCTCAAGCTATGTGCAGCAGCCGCTTGGAAAGCACCCATTGCCAAAGACAGAATCCCTCGTCTGGTGACACAGCAGATGATACACAGATAGAAATGTTTCCACAAAGTTCTGGCAACAACTCCCACCAAGTCCACTGCTGAGTCTTCAAATTACTGCTTTTCTTTGGCTTGTGTTTCATCTTATTTTCAAGTTCTTTTCTTTTGCTTGTTTTTTTATCTTGTGTTCACCCTTTCACCCCTGTTCTTCAGTGGGAAGAAAGAATGCAGACGGGGAAAAAGCCTGCAAGGTTAAGTTCTTGCATACTAGACTCTGTTCTGTGGGATGCGACAGAAAAGTTCCACCTGATCTTTCCACTATATTGCAGAACTATTGCACTTGCAAGAACATTGTCACTGACCTTGAAATATTAAAATTTAGTAATATATACTACCGTTCAAAATGTTGAGGTCGGTAAGATTTTTTGTCTCATATGCTCACCAAGGCTGCACTTATTTGATCATATATGCAGTTAAAGCAACAGTTTTCTATTTGAATATATTTAAAAGGTAACTAATTCTATGATCACAAAGATGAATTTGCAGTAGCCATTACTACAGTCTTCCGTGCCACATGATCCATCAGAAATCACTTTAATATGCTGAATTAATGCTCAAGAAACATTTATTATTATTATCAGTGTTGAAAACAGTTGTGCTACTTAATATTTTTGTTGAAAACTTAATATTTTTTAGGATTTTTTTGATGAATGGAAAGTTCAAAAGAGCAACATTTATTTGAAATAGAAATATTTTGTAACATTATAAATGTATTTACTGTCACCTTTGAAATTGAATGCATCCTTGCTGAACAACAGTATTAATTTCTTTCAAAAAATATTACTCAACCCAAACTAGTGAGGTTAAAGTATTGTTCATGATACCTAGTGCATTAACAAATGTAACCTAACTGTTGCATTTATTATTCTCTGTTTTATGCGGTGTGTTTCCGCAGGTACTGACATTTGATGGCAGAGGTGTGAGTGGACATGCCAATCATATTGCCATTTACAAGACCCTCAGGTAACCTTGTGCTGATGTCATAATGCAAGAATTAACTCCACAACAACAGGATGTTAGCAATTAATCAAAGTAGATTAGACTTAAAAAAAACAGTCCCGTTGTACTAAATTCTGAAAATTCCCCTACATAAAGCAACAGTCACAATTGCTTCAGCAAGAACAGAGACTGACATTAGGCCAGCAGTTTGATGTTTGATGTGTGACAATTTCAAACAGGAAACAGCCTAATATTGCTTATTTAACATTACCCGAGTTATTTCTATTAGAGTGGGTCCAGATGAAATGGCAAAGAGCTTCATTCATCCTTCATTCAACAGCTTTACCATCTAGATTTAGCTGGTAAACAGCATGGCTGAGTTAGTCCACAAGCTAGACTATTACCAAACCAGATATACCCAACATAAAGCAGCCAGGCCTAGAAATACATATGGTCTTGCAGTAGGATGGTGTAAAGATGTTTCATGTCAAATCTGAACATGTCTAGACTCCTTAATATACACTTATATTTGGCATGCAGTGCAGTGAAGTTAAATGCGAAGTCAGTCAGACAAAGAAAGAAAAACATCCTGTCCTGAAGACTGACTTCCCCTAGTGCACATTCTCCTAGAAGAACTACACATCACAGATGTGATATCACAGTTGTCATTTTTCATCTATGGCAGTGATTCTGTTGTTGTGCGAGGGATGTTGTTTGATGCTGGTTGTATTTATTTGTAATGTGTTGTAACCTGTTGATGTTTGTTTTTGTTGATTATTGTTGTTGATCACTGAAGAGTTGCCACAGATACAAAAAGAATTTCCGAAAGGACAATAAATTAAACTAACATTACATTCATAACATCAGACCAACAGAAATACACACATATATGTGTATATACAGTTCAGTGCATAATTTGTTTTTGATTATAATAATATTTCACAATATTACAGTTTTACTGAATTTTTGATCAAATAAATGTAGCTTTGGTGAACATAAGAGACTTTTTCCAAAAATTCCAAAAGTTATCGATCCCAAACTGGATCATACACTCCAGTTTGAATGGTAGTGTATGTTCCACAAGACTAAATAACTTAATTTACACAAATTGTTATTATTTTTCCTTCTTGGAAATATCTAGCTTCTGAAGGGCAGTATTAAATAAATAAATAAAAAAACATAAAATACATGTTTATATCTCTTTGTATAAATTGCGAGGGGTTTATAGACTATAGACGACGAAAGGGGTATACAAACATATGCACTCAACTGTATCTAGGTATAATACCATTACTACAAATAATTGCTCACATTACACGCATTCCAGCAGAGCAGCAAAACACTGAAGCAATTCAGAAGGAGAGGAAAACCAGATCCTCGGTCTTGGATCAGACAGCTTGTTGTTTGAGTGGTTGCAGCAATTCAGCGTGAAGCAGGACTTTGCCTGATACCTTCACACTGTATGAATCCTACTCCTTTCTTCTGCACTAGGGTATCAAAGCTTAAATCATGAATACGGGTGATGGAGGCATCCAGACAACAGGAGATAAAGCTTTGTGCTGGTGTGAGGCAATGACTTGCATGAAGGCTTGCAGTAAAACAGTCCAAAAAACAGCGTTTAGTTGTTGAGCAATGTTTGGTTATAAGAAACAGAGCCAGTCTTTTCAGACATGTCTCTTCTGTGCTGTTGTAGATTAATTTATTTGTCTGTGTGAGAAGGAGAGAGAGAGGAAGCAGTGGTGAAGTTGGCACTGGGACTGCGGCGTCTCGGGCTGAGCTCTGGGCCAACACAGGTGGTGTGACTGGGAGAGCCAGGCCATGACAGACAGTTCCAGGAACTGTATATGGATTTAGAGCTCACTCTAATCTGAGAAAAACCCAGACCTCAGGAAGTATGTGTGTCCTTAAGACAAACACATACAGAATAATGGGAGAGAGAGAGAGAGAGAGAGAGAGAGAGAGAGAGAGAGAGAGAGAAAAACACTTCACAAAAC